TTTTTTTTGGTTTTTCTCCGGTACCGGGAACCGAACTCACGACCTTGCGCTTGCCAGGCAGGCGCTTTTGCCACTGAGCTAAATCCCCAGCCCCTTGTTTGGCTTTTTTTATACTAGTCATATCACCCTACTATGTCTTGGCCAGCTAGGCTCTTCTTAGAGATCTGCTCATTGTTGTCGAGGGTTTTCCTTGTGTGTATGGAGTCTCTTTGTTCTTGTTGCTTCCAAATTTCTTCTTTTGCCTTGGACTTTTTGTAATTTACTTGTAAAGTGTGTAGGTGAAGGTATATTTATATTTAATCTAATTGGAGTGCTTTGGGCTTCAGGTATTTCATGGTCATTTCTTTTTTCAGATTGGGGAAGTGTTCTGTCTTTGTTTCCTTCAGGGAGTTTGAATTATTCCCAAATTCATGTTTCTGTGACCACATGGGGGTGAGACTCCTGAACTTGCTGTGACCACATGGGGGTGAGACTCCTGAACTGATCAGGCTGATGCAATTCCTATAGATGTTTTTTTCTTAATGAAAGGATAAACCAGAAACTAAAAAAAATACCCAAAATTAAAGAATTCATAAAAATGCATAATAGAATTAATACTTTATGAGTAACACTATAAAAAAACACACAACTTCAGAGTATAAAATATATTCACAACCCCTTCATTAATGAAGAATTAATGCTCCTAACATAAAACTATTTCCTACCTACCAACAACAACAGCAACAACAAATTTAAAAGAGAAAGTATGCAATCAGCACACTACAAGAGAGGCAGTCTACTGGCCACTCAACCCATGTAGAGCTGGGGAATAGTGTCGTATTGGAGTTAAATGGAGTAAAGATATTCAAGCGTGTAGGCCACGCCAGCGTGTTCTACCTTTAATTTCAAAGAAATACACAAGCAATCTGAAGACAAAAGAGCGACAGATTAATTTTACACTGAAAATGTTCACTTTTCATCTACTAATTTGACTTGAGATAGGGTTGTCAGGAAGAACGAGAAAAATTTTAGGAAATGAATATTAGGTAAAAATATTAGGATGAGAATATAAAGAGTGGAAATTCAGTCTCACAATCTGTGTTTGGATTTCTGGCTGGTGTCTGAGCACAATTTTAAATCATTTCTCACTTTATTTTCAGCACGTTTTTATCTGGTTGGACCTCTTGGTGTATGGCAGATTATACCATTCAGTTAATTTCCATTTTATACTGCATTGTCAAAAGGGCTCTATCGTGGGTTGTTATTCCCAGGGATTAATTAAAACATGGCTGTTTCTTGCTTCCAAGGAACATGGACTTTACCTCCAGAGACCGCAGTTATGAAACATTTACACTCCTAGATCTCATTTGTTAGTCACTGTTGTGTCACCAAGACAATAGAGTAATTCACGGTGAGATGGAGACAGATGTGGTGCTCACTAAGACTGTATTTGTGGAAGGGGGAAGAGAGCTATCCGCAGTCTTCGCCTGAGGGCTGCTGCCACACTGTGAGATCACAGCACTTTTCCACTTGATCTGAAGTGTATTCAGACACACAGAGGTTCCTTATCGGTCAAAGAAGTTGGAGTTTGAACATCTAAACAACTGAAGTTGCTCGATGGCCCAGTTCAACAGAAATCAGTCCACACCGTGCAGTAAGTTTGATACCATAGTTTTGTAGAGTAAAACCATAAAGTGTTATTTTATTTTTCAATCAGTGGTTTGAATTTACGATTTTCATATCACATCCTCAAGGAATTCACTGGGGCAGCCCCACGAATTTTAGAACACGAGCCACTTCTTTTATTTGGGTGAAGGTGGTGCAGGAGCTGGGAGTGAGCCGTCGGTTTTGGAGGCACAGGACAAAGGGGGGGGTCATCTAATGTGGTCACAAAGTAAGGTGGAAGCGCTTTGAGGTGCATGTGCACACTGGATGTTGAGGACATTCTGTCACATTTTAAACTGTTTACACTCACAGAGTGTTTAAAACTTCATAGTAAGGCAACTCCCATCCCTTTTCTCAAGTCTGCACATAGCCCTTTGCATGCTCGGTATCTGTCCCATGAGCATCCCCATACACCCATTAAGGTTTTATGATTAAAGTGTAGTAGAAGCAGACGTCCAGGGAGGTTCATTCTCTTCCTCAGTCACAGCAAGCCTTCCCCGCTCTCCCTCTAACAAAAGTGATATGAACACCCAACTTAAGGAAGCCAGGACAGGTGGAAATAAGACAGTTTCCAGCAGAGAGAAGACACCGTGGCCTCTTCCTTGGTTTTCTTCCCTGTTTCCTGTTGACCTGCCGGGAGTAGAGCAAGCACTGGATGCCTGGAGCGGAAGGCGGCAGGGAAAGATGCTGAGGATGAAGAAGAGTGAGGAGCTTCCCGACAGGACAGCGACATCCTGCCCTGACTGTAGTGATGATGTCATTAGCGCTGACAACCATAAAGACTCCAGGAATCACGCACATTTAGCTGGATCCATTTATAGTAGATAAATGAGCACTTCCTAAGTAAGGGCAAAACTCTGTTTCAGAATTTTCTTTGGCACGCGATACAAGTCTAGGAAATAAACCTAGGTACCTTTGTATTGTAGTAAAGCAAACCAAACAAAAACAAACAAGTACAAATAAAATAGGTGGCATAATAGAAAAAATACCAATAGTAATTGTTTAAAATTTGTAGGTGATGTGGAGACATGCACTGTATTCTACTTTTTACCTCGATATTTTGGATGAACTCTGAAGAGCTGGAATAAAGCATAAAAGAGTGGAGTGACTGAATGCACAGTTTCTACTTAATTCATGGCTAGACTTTAATTATATCACCGATAGTCTATGCCTCCACCTTTTATGAGATGGGTTTTTTTTTAAATGCCAGTGTAAAAATCATCTAGGCAACACTTCTCCAGACCTAGCTCACAGATGACACTCTGCAAGCTTTGTTACAGGAACACCAAGGCCGAGCTCTTTCCCCACCCTGTCCATTGCCGCCATTTCTCAACCTTTCTGTTGTTGTTCTTCATATCAGACTCCACTGGCTAGTTTGCTTCACCAGGCCTTTCTCTAGCTTGCTTACATTTTAACTGAAGAACTGTTTCCTATAGTGAGGGATTTGTAAGGGTGCCGGAATGGTTCAGAGTGGGGCCAGGGTGGAAAAGAGCATGACACAATCCCTGGGGGCCTGCACACTTATGGAAGTATCACATACCAAAGCCAGTCATATGTACAATTAAAATGCATTAATAAAATGTTTAAAGAGAGCTGTGTCTTAAGAAACACCTAATCCTATCAGTGTGCCTACTACGTGAGGTATTTAACAAATGCGTCAGTATTTTTATGAAGAACTGTGATTAAAATCTCACTGAATACTACTTATGAAATAAGGAATACTTTCCCAATTCCTAACACGACTGTGATTTTATTATCATCCAAACTAAGAACTGTGAAAAGCCATTTGCAATGCTGTATTTTAACATAGAAGTAAAAAATATGTTTCAAAATAAATATGCATATTCAATAAATGGAAATTAAATTAAATATATGTATATTCAATAAAAGGGAGTGAGTTATTTTTCTCTGTGCATGTGTATATTTCTCATTTCTTTTGTTAATACTATTTATTTCTTTGTTGATTACTTCATCTTTAATTATTCTTCTTGTTTTTCATTTTAGTTATACCTCTTCCACCCACCTCACCAGGGCGTTCTTACTGAGAACGTACTTTGTATTAGACACTCTTTTGTGTCTTTGAGATTTTGGCTTAAAAAGATTTTTTCCACATTTGTATATGCATAATGTTTCATTTATATATCAAACTTTGCTTTAGAAGCACCCTTTTAGGCAGCCATACTTATATACTTATAACCCTTTCTCCTCAGGAGTAAGTGACGAGAATAAGACAGAATCTGTCGGGTTTCGCCTCATGGAGTTCTCTGCCTCGCGGGAGGTGCAGACCGTCCACGCTGCTTTCCTTTCAGTAGTCTACCTGGCAGCTGTCACGGGGAACCTCCTCATCATCGTGCTCACCACTCTGGATGCTCATCTGCAAACCCCAATGTATTTCTTTTTAAGAAACCTGTCTTTCTTAGATTTTTGCTACATTTCCGTCACAGTTCCCAAATCTATTGTCAACTCCTTCACCCACGATAGCTCCATTTCCTTCTCTGGGTGTGCCCTGCAAGTCTTCTTCTTCATGGACCTGGCGAGCACAGAGGTAGCCATCCTCACGGTGATGTCCTATGACCGCTACGTGGCCATCTGCCGGCCGCTGCACTACGAGGCCATCATGGGCCGCGGGGCCTGTGTCAGGATGATGGCCGCGTCCTGGCTCAGTGGCGTGGTCTCTGGGCTCATGCATGTGGCGGCGACATTCTCCTTACCGTTCTGTGGGTCCAACCGAGTCCATCAATTTTTCTGTGACATTCCACAGCTCCTGAGCCTCTTAGACTCCAAAGTAATCATCAATGAGGTTAGAATCATGGTTTTTATTACGTGTCTTGTGATTATCTGCTTTGTATTGATCACTCTCTCCTATGTGTACATTTTTTCTGCCATCTTGAGGATTCCATCAAAGGAGGCAAGATCCAAAACATTTTCCACCTGCATTCCCCACCTGGTGGTTGTAACGCTCTTCCTGATATCTGGAAGCATTGACTATGTGAAGCCAATTTCGAGTTCTCCCTCCTCTTTGGACTTTTTCTTGCCTGTGTTCTACACCGTGGTGCCCCCCACCCTGAACCCCATCATCTACAGTCTGAGAAATAGGGACATCAAGGCAGCCCTGGGAAGGCAGTGTGTAAGGAAGACCAATTAGGGCCCCAGCTCTGGGACACTGCTCCAGCCAGGTTTCTCATGATTGCTGAGGTCTTGCTTGATTCCCAAATGCTGTTTAGCTGGAGATCAGCAGTAACCTCAGTGCTGTGCACACACCATCTTTGATAGCCATAGAAGGCACTTTGAGCTGTGTAAAACACTAACACCTATGCTTTTAATAATTTTTTATGTGTGGGTGTCTTCAAAATCTTATGATTTATATTTTTCTCATTGAAGTGATATTTCAATTAACTTTTATAAAAGTATGCTCACAATATATTAGTCACGAATTCAATATACATCTATTACTCACAGTAGAGCAAGATCATATGTATTAAAAACAACCAAATGGAAAACAAAAGATAAAATAATGTCCACCCAAAACATTTGTGTTGTCAGAAGGTAGGGCCCAGTAGTGTGGAGACCGACGCTTTGGTGGCCAGCTGTAATAGTCAGAAGAGATTGACATATGTGCAAGGGGTCCACAGACAATAGTGGTACATGTAGGCATTTGGTTCTGGGTATAGGAAAGATCATAAGGGGAAAACACACGCTGATCTTATTTTTAGTAACACATGTTACTGTGTTCAATACAAAGCCCCTTCAGGTTCCTTCAGTTTTTGCATCTGAGCACACAGGGCTCTCTGAAAGTTGTTATGACTCCATTCCAGAGCGCATGTTCTGTGTATGTATTTGTTTATATAAGGCATAGCATTGTAAAGGCAAAGTTATAAAGCTCTCATAGTAGAAATTAGAAATCAATCAGTGGCCTGAGGCTGTGTTGGGATGCACATGCTCAGGCTGCTTACCACATCGCTAGACTGCAAAGCTCGGTTAGCCTGGGCTGTCTGCGTCCAGCTGCTTCTTCCAAACAGCCGGCCAGGTCAGCCTGACCACATCCAGATGCAGCACCTGTGCTTTCTACTTAAAATATGTACATATCTTTTTTGTTTCGGCTTGCTTCATGGACTTTATACCCTATGCCCAGAACACACTGGTCTAATCAAGGATGCATTCAACTCTACCTGCTCTGCTCAAAACCCCTGTCTCCCAGAATGTACCTGTCTAACGGAAAACAATTCCTTTCAAGTAAACTTGCTTTAAACAAATCTTCCTGACAACATATGACTTAATTCTTGTAATCCATGTAACCAATCATGTAATAATCAGCTATCAGCTTTGTACTTCCTGATTGCAAACTGTATTTAAATTGAACTCAAAACTGACTCTGAGCTGATGATTTGGAGCTGGTTCCCATTAGCCGGCTAGCGATACATTAAAGGTGCCTTCCAAAACTCCTCAGTGCGGAGTGTTTTCCTTTAAGGTCTGAATTTTTCCTGCAACAGTATTATTTTATGAGTTAAACATTAAGTTGAATAGTAACAGATCTTTGTTATCCTTTTAAAAATTCCTTTTAAATTTTGTTTATAACAGAAAAATAATAATGAATAATGTGAAGTTTTGGTACATGTTTGGAATACAAAATGATTAAATCCCCCCCAGTTAACATTTCTTTCTCCTCTAATAGTTCTCTTATGGAGAGAAATCAGATAACTAATTTCTTTCTGGAGAGAATATTTAAAATGCTCTCTTGCAGTTATTTTGAAATATCCTTTGTTATTAACTAGAGTCACCATGAAGCCCAATAGATCATCAAAACTTATTCTTCCTGACTAATTACGACTGTAGCCTTTGATCAACACCTCACTTTGCTCCGTCTGCACTTCAGTAGCATCTGACAACCACCATTCAACTCTGCATTCCTTTGAATCTGACTTTCTTTTCATGTCCTTCATATGAGGGAGATCATTACCTGTGTCTACACCTGGCCTTTATGGATTCCATGAGTCCTTTAGGTTCACCCATGTTATCCATTACAGAATTCCCTGCTTCTTCAAAGCTAAGTGGTGTTCCATTGCATATATTAGCTACTTATTAAAGCCTATCATTTGTTGATAGGTGGTATGGTGTTTCCACATCTGTGCTATTGTGGATGGTGCTGAAATGCAGAGCAGTGAAAACATCTTTTTGGACACACTGGTTTCACTTCCTTTGGTTATCTACCCAGAAGGGTGACTCCTGATTTTTATGGCAGTATTATTTTCTCTTTTTCTGTTGAACATCAGCACTGCTTTCTAGGGTGTTTGCACCAAGAGTGTGAATAGCCTCACAGCCTTCACCTTTTTTTTACATAGTAATCAGTAGGCATGTTCTCTTATAGCTGTAATATGGACTTTTTAGGTGTTTAGTAATCATGGGGAATTTGTTCATATATTATTGGTCATTTGAATCTCCTTCTGAAAATATGTCTTTTGCTCTATTTTAATAAGGTGATTAGCTTTCTTGTTATTGAGTAATTGAGTTCCTGTGTGCTGTGGATATTAATCCCTAACCCACTGTCTGATTTGCAAATATTTTCTTTCAATCCCTGAATTGTCATTTTACTCTGTTCCTTCCTTAATATATGAAAAGATAGAGAGTAAAACTTTATAGTTTAATGCATTCTCTTTTTTCTATTTTTGCTTTCAATCTTGTGGCTGTAAAATTTATAATAAAATTGATGTTTTTCTGAAAGACTACTCAATACTACTTGTTTATATATTATACTACAAATAATATATTGAATATGAATATATATTGAATATAACTAATATATTGAATAGGGATAGCTAAATGGGAACAACTAAAATAGGAGGACAAGAAGTACACAGCCTGGCTGGAATGACACAAGATGGAAATCTCAATATAATGAAGTCATTGCTTTCTCTCCAAACTTATCCATAGAGTGGACACAATATCAAATAAAACCTTTTATGAGGAAAACAAAAAACTAGGTACATCTAAGAAACTGTCATAGAAAGAGGTGGAGATGTTCTGCTATTGAGATGTTTCAAGAACATTTTCTGGATTTTTAATTTTAATTTTGTAAAGCCCATGTATTACTGGTTTTGCCTCAGGAATAAATAAGTGGGAAAATAATTGAGTTTAAAAGTGAATTCATATTCATGTGAAAATGTGATATTCAATCCATTTGTCTTTGCAGACATGTAGGGGAATTAGAACTTCTCAGAGAACTGTGGTTTCCTAATTTGTTGTCCAAATAAAAAGAAATAAGATTGGACCTTTTCCTTATCAGAAACCCAAAGGGCAGATACAAAAATTAAACACATAATTATAGACCTAAAATTCAAGGTAGAGCTCTTAACTTCAGAAAATAGAATAAATGATCTTAGTGCATATTACTCACTAAAATTATAAAAATTCAGGGTATAAATATTGGTAATTATAACTTTTTAAATAAAGCTTTATGTTCATGCAAAGACAGTTTGAATGACCATGTGGTGTTCAGGTCCTGTAATTACAGAAGGTGTTAGGAATCCTGCCAGGAATTCAGCCCCGGGGAGAACCCCTGCCTCTTTGGCCAGTCTTGGGTCTGGGGAATAATCTACAGTCTGTCTCCTGGGATTGCAAAATTCTGGTCTACAGATGAGTTACAGAGCAGAATTTAGACTATAAAGATATGATGAGGATTAATGATCGATAGCTTAGTCATGCATAATACTGTTACAGATGAAAGAAAATCTCAGACTCTCACCAAGGTATCCAAGAGCAAGCTGGGACGAACCCTTGAGCATCCATCCCAGATAGCGGCCCGGCAGTTTCGGGGAGGGCTGGTGAGTGGATTCGGGATCTGTTTTTCCTGCTTCTGCTTCGGGCTCTTCCCTGCAACCTTGCTCATCACTGAGTTTCATCCTCGGAGAGATCCCCAATCCCAGCGCCATCCCACCCTGCATGGGTGTCTGTTCTTTTTGTTTTCTCTCTAGTTCATTCTCATTGTGCCTTTTTCTGGGTGCATCTATTTATAAGTGAGCAAAACTAAAACCCCGTTCAGACAGTAGCTCTTTGTGAAGATACATTTGTATCTTTAATAACTGTCCCACCCTCTTTGGAGATGCTGCCAACATGGTATAAGGCAAAAACTGTAAATTTTCTTCACAATTTAATAATGTCTATATTATTTAGAGGTAGCCTTGGTAAGTATGAGATAGTATTTCAACCACCTGCAATCAATTTAAGTACTGTTCATATGATATTTCTTGTTCAAATATCTATTTTTGATAAAGATTCTGTGAATTTTGTTCAAACTGACTTGACTCTTGCAATATATAGAAGAAGTAAAGATCCTGAAATACTAGTGACTGACTAAGTAGATAAATTTAGGACTTTTTTCCTACATGAATTAATTTATGGACAAGAATGAAGGTAGTGACAGAAATGTAAAAACAGACATGTAGAAAATACAAAATAAACTGAATTTAAAGCTATGTGAAAAAAATAGAACAAACGTGGGTGACACGGAACCAGGCAGGAGAGGAAGCTGCAGGTCACTGTGGTCAGAGCTGGCGGCCACTGCAGGTAGTAGAGATTCTTCAGTCCTTGCTGGAGCTTTCACCTTCCCACTAGCAGAGAATGTTTACATGATGTGCTATGTTCTTTCTGGAAATGCTGATCTTGTTTATATTATTTATACTCCTATCTCCATGAAGCTGAATGTTTTCTAGCTTGACTCTGTAACCTTGAAACACTGAAAATCCTTCCTGTCCTTGCAAATCTACTTCACTAATAGTTTATGTACTTCATCTAGCTTTAAAAATTTTACTGCTCTGTGAATTTGTGTAGAAACTCTGTCTCACAATCAGACAGATAGATGATAGATAAACAGATATGTTGTGTGTATTTGTGTGTGTGTGTGTGTTATTGTTGGCTTACATATTGCAAAGTCAGCATATTGCAAAGTCATAGTAATTGAGTGTGTAGTAATTCCTATGTAGTAATTGTTGCCTGTATACACAAAAGTGTGTGTGTGTGTGAGTATACAGATAGATATCCCTCAATACCCATGAGTGAATTGGCTCCAGGATCTCCTGAATACATCCGAGCTTGAGAGTGCTCAGGGCTGTTATATAAAATGTTCTGGTTCCTACACAGAATCTGTTATAT